TTTTAATGATTGATTTGAAATAACCTATTAATTTTCATAAATAAAACTTGGTAAAATAGATTATTCTGGGTGACAGACTAAATGACATGTCTATCTTAGGAGTTTGGCTAATATAGCATCCTTCCTTATTAAGGAGTTTACATGCCTTTGACTGGCAATAAAAATATGAATATGCACAATATGTATTTTAATTTAATTATATTACCTATATTTAGTATAAAGATTCAATTTCTATCATATCATTTGCTATTTTTCAAGAAACCATGAATAGCAAAATGAAATACAGCAGTCTACGATCACAGTTTTAAGTTCTATAAGGCGCAGGATTGATGAACCTATAGGCACAGCAAGCAGAATAAGGATTTCTGTGGAGTTCAGTGGGAGTCGGGGTAAAAGGGAGCTGATGTCAAGGAGTTCAAGAAGGAAGAAAATGTTTTGAAATTGATTGTGGTAGCAATTGTACAATACTGTTTGATGTGATTGAACTTTAAAACAATATGATATCTGTATTAGCTCCCAATAAAATGGTTTGGGGGGGGGGGAAAGAGTCTAACAACATAACAAAAATAAATATGCAACATAAAACAGTTTTCCATATAATTTGAACAATTCATCTTATTTGGTACTGGTTGTTGAGGCTATTTATTGGTGAGTTTATAAATTCTTATTTCATAAAAGAATAGAGAAAATACAAAACCCAGGATTGATGAACCTATATGGACAGCAAGTAGAATCGGGTTTCTGGAGGGGCAGGTACAGTGGTGTTGGTGGTGGGCGGAGTAAAAGGGAGCTGATGGCAAGGAGTTCAGGAAGGAAAAGAATTTTCAAACTGATTGTGGTAGCAACTGAAGAATACTGCCTGACGTGACTGAACTATGGCATGATACGATATCTGTATTAACTCCCAATAAAATGGTTTTTAAAATAAAAATAATGATAAAATGTTATGCAGTTTCAAGATGTCACTTTCGTTCTCTTGGCAGGTTATTCTAATGTGACAGGTTTTTTTTAATGTGAAAAACTTTAAATTGTGAAAACATTACTTTAGTTTTCTAGAATATGCTCCACTATATACCATTCACTCTCCAATTAACTACTTACTTAAAAAAGGGTTTTGATTGATGATCCACATGAAAATCTGTGGCATCTTTCCTAGAAAATAATAAAATGACACAAATTATGAATAAATATATTTAAAATAATTCCTTTCATTATTTTATATTATTATAAAATAAGATGAAATACTCAAAGTTCATATTTATGTTCTCTGTATCTAAATTACTGATCACTAGCCAAGTAATATACCAAGTATTCACTAGCAAATTTTACCCTCTCCAAGTATTAAGTCTAATATTTGACCAATAAGAAACATTTGTTACCTGAAGTCTAAATAAGATACATTAAAATAATTTTCAAATATAAAGTGTCATTGTCTCCTCTAACTTTTAAACCTGGGGGATTTAAATGGATATTTTAATAGTTACAAATTTTTCTTTAAAAACTTTTTTTCTTAGCTAAGTCTCTCCCAAACAATGACAAAATACATGTGCTTTTAAACTGAAGGCGTATTATGAATAGAAGACAATCACTGACGAGATGAAGTGACACAATCGATGCAACAATGGGCTCACGCACAACAGGCAGTGCTTCACTGCGTTGTGCATAAGGCCCCTGAGCCGCAACCCACCCAATGATACCTAACAAGAACCACGGTTTAGAGCTTCTTAAACTCAACCCCCTCCCTCCTCTCCCCCAACTTACTGCACCTAACAGCAATGTATTCTTATTGTGTATCCCTGAATTTAAAGATGATGTTTCTACTGATACCCAAAAAGGATGGAGATGTGAAGAAATTCAGATTTTATTAATGGAAATTGACATTTACTTTTAAATTTATAGTCTTGCTAAAGAATACCTTTGGAGACAATGAAAACATAATAGACTAAAAACTAGTTAGCTGAAAAGTCTGGGGGGCAATATTTTAATCAAAACAGGGCTGTCCCCTTAGAATTTTACATTTTTCTTAAAGGCTTTAAACTGAGCCATCAGTTGGTAACAAGTGCACATGAACATCAACTACTCTTTGAAATAGCAAAGTTAGGTGTTCAGAGTTTCTCAGCTGTGATACAACCTCGGCATCCATTGGGCCCTCTCTCACAGGGACACAGATAGCATGCCTGTGCTGTCTGGACTGGGAGCAATAAAGTCCTTTTTCTCTGCCCAGGGGGCTTGTGTCTTTTGTTCCCATTGATGAAGAGTAACTGACTAAGTCGTAAATTAACTTGTAAATTGTATACAAAGATTTTTTCAAACTTGATGGTAATATTAATAGAGATGCATGAGATGCTGGGACAATTAAAGATGCAGTTAAATTTCTTGGAAATTAAGTCCTATTAAACATTTTAATTGAGCCTGCGCGTTGAGTAGGAATAGACTACACAAAAGAGAACGCAGAGTTTTAGCCAGACACAAAATTATAGTCAAAAGGACTGGGATAAGATACAGCACGGCAAATTCAAGGACCTGAAAGCTGGGAGACCTCTAGGAAGAGTGGCAAGAAATGAGACTGTTACGGTAGGTCAGGCCAAAAGACAATCTTTTATGTTCTACTAATTGTTCACATTATTGCTGGAAGTGATGGGAAATCCTTGAAAGGTTTTAAAGGAAGATGTGGTGACATACCCAGATTTTCATATCAGGAGGCTTATTATAAAGGCAACATTGAGAATGGAAGGGAGGAATGATAGAGTCGGAATGGCCCATCAAAAAATAGGGAATTGCAAGTCTAGAGGTATAAAAACCAATCAGCCTTTTTTTAATGCTGTGAGGGCCTGAACAACGACCACTTAAGCAGCTGCAATGTGAATGATAAGGAAGGAATGATTCCCATAGAAACACAAGAGCAGAAGTACAAGATTTAACAATTAAGTATATGTGGGGAGTAGGGAACAGTAGGATAAACCTAGGAGGATCATTTTCAAATTTATTACTGTGTAGAGAGAAGTCAGGGTTGAAGCTATGTTTGGGATAAACTTGGCAGTAAGTGATAGATGATGATTTAAGCATGAAGGGCAGAACACATGTACAGACCAAACTTGGAAGAATATATAAGGAAAAGATAAATAGCAGTGGCAGTGGGTTACTGAATAATGGTGACATCCATTGAAGGGAGGAGAGAAATAGAGGCAGAGACTATAAGGCACCTGCAGGAGTAGTGAATGATTTCAAGTGATTCTTCTAAACAAGGTCTCTCCTACCAAACAACCTTCTCCTGCAGGGGCCTGGTAAGAAGGTAAGAGAAGATACTGATAGGATTCATCTGTGAGTAATTGAAATCCGGAGTCCCTGCATCCTGTTGAGTAAAAAATGAGCCCCTTGGGAAGCAGGAGGAAGGTTCTCATTACCAGCAAGAACCAGGAGCGGAGTGTGTCCTCTGGACCCAAGATCCCTGGGCAGTGATCCTGGATCCAGAAGCCAGTTACAACACTGGGGGAGCAGCAGCGGACCGAGGAGACTGAGCAAGAAATAGAGCAAGTAAGGCTGAGTGAGTGCTTTCGTACAGCAACATGGCTTGTGGAATGGGTACCTCTGGGCACTTAATTCAGGACGTTAGGCTTGCTGACCCACAGAAGAGTTGCTGAGTGCCTACAGGCTGAGGCTAACTCAAGTGAGGTACCTTGGGCACTTGATTCTGGTAGCTGAATTTGCTAGTCCAAAGAGCTTGGGCTGAATGCCACAGGGTTGAGGCTATGGTGAAATGATATGCCCCTTTGGGCATTTCTTAGCAGACCTGAAAGAACTCTGTAACATGTCCTGATGAACAACTCAACCCTGAGCATCATGGCAGGTGCCCAAATCTGTAATAAATGTGGAAATGTGACCTAAGTATCAAAAATAGGGCTCAGATGAGTATAAGATAGATAAATGGTACCATCTTCCAGAGTGGATTTGAAAAGGACAGTATGTATTTTCAGGAAAAATATTGATGCTATACCATGACTACATGGCACAACGAATATTTGAGTGTAAGTAGCCTCTACCTATGGACTAAAGAGAAAAAAGCATGCCCTGGGAGAAGAGGCACATTTCAACTAAAGGAAAGAAGTAAGGCCGAAGACCTCTATATGTCTGTCCAGAGCTGTGGACATGGGGTGTTTGTTTAACTTGAAACTTGATTTCCAGAGGGGACAGTGAAAGGAGTTTGCTAAGAAATCAGTGATCAGAGGACAAGAGATAAGAACGTGCAAGCAGTAAGGACTGAATATGGGGAGTGTGGACAAGTAATCAGAAGGGCTTACATTTGGAACACTCCCAAAATGAAGAGTTTTATAAGGCATGGATGGAATTAATAGGACTGGAGATTGAAAAAAAAAAAAAGCCAAAACTTTTTTATGATTGTTTCAGACTCAGTGATCAGGAAAATTTATACCCTGTGCTAGTTCAGAATTATTAATTGGTTCCAGAATTTTTGAATTGGTTCTTTTCTCACGGACTGAAGAACCATGATGATAAGGCAGTAGCATTTTATCATGGGAGATTTGATGCCAATATCCAGCACCGAGGTATAGAAGCAAACATTTTAAATCTTATATTCATCCCTCCAGAATTCATTCGCAGTTCCTGCTTTAAATGCAAACATTCTCAATACATGCAAAAATATGACAACTATACCTGCTTATAAAGGCATTTTCCACTAAATAATAACATCACTGGAACTACTGTTACTAACAATAATATCTATAGTTATATACACTTATTATATATATGCCAGTTTTTTTAAATAACCTTACAGATATTAAACTCATGTAAGGTCATACTAAGTCCTTGTACTAAGCCCCTTAATGTTGCAAACCATTTGGTTTGCTCTTAGCTACTAACCCAATGGTTAACAATTCAAACCCATCTGGTGATCTGTTTCCATAAAAAGTACAGCCAAGAACCCGATACGGAGCAATTCTACTCTGTAACATCTGAGGTGGCCAGGGGTCAAAAGTGACTTAATGGCAATAGATTTGTTTTCTAACCCACTTCACAATTTTTAAAGAAGCAGGTTTCTTTATAACCCCAATTTTGGAGATGAAGAAACTGAAGTACAGAAACAAAATGTTTAGTCATACACCTGATTACATACATCACATTACAAGCAATGTGGCTATAGATTCTGTGGCTCTGAAATATAAACTCACTGCTGCTCTAAAAATATGTAAACTAGATAAAACAATACAACCCCAAAATACAATCAATTTTGGAAACCAGATCAGGTCGGGCTTGCATCCTAGGGCGAATCTGCTGACAAGTTTTACCTGTTCAAGTTACATGGTTTTTTGTTGTACAAATCAGGGGGTATCTCGGGAATGTTAAGTCATTGGGGGTAACACTCTTGAAGTTGTGATAGACGTTTTTCATTTTCCAGGGTATAAACATTAGGACTGATGAACCTCTATAGAGTCAGCGAGTGGAATGAGGGTTCTGGAATAAGTGGAGGGTGGCACACACGGGGTGGTGGGGTGAAGGGGTGATGACGTCAAGGGGTCCATACAGCAAAAGAATGTTTGGAAACTGATTGTGGTAGCAAATGTCCAATTCTGCTGCATGTGATTGAACTATGGAACAATTTGATATATGTATCAATCCCAATTAATAATAAAAAAAATAAAGATTTTTACACCTTAAAATGTTTTTTTTAATAAAAATATGTAAAGTAGAAATCTTACATAGGGGAAAATTCAGATTAAGTAATGCTCTTTGAGGGGTAAATCAGAGGCTATTTTGTTACGGTCGATGTCTAGAAATGAGAGTTACAGTTATTTTTACAAAAGGGACACCAGAAAAGGATAGTGGCAGTGGTTGTCAAACAGGAAAGACCTTGTCAATATCACTGAATTATAGATGTAGAAATTGTTGAGTTGGTAAATGTTGTATATATTATCAGCATAATAAAAATTAAACAATAAAAAATATATTACATAGTAAAATGTTCAAAAAATTACCTTGAAAGCATCATCATTTTGAGTTTTGTTATAGTAAACCCAGCTTTGTTTATTATTTCGATTATTTCTCCAGCCTTTGATACTGCGTCTGGTTTAATCAAGGCTAATGTTCTGTAAAGAAATAAATATTTTACAGTTTTTATTTCTAATTCTCAGGCAGAAGTAATTTTCTTAATATCTATTCAAGATCGAACATCAAAATTAATTCTACAGAGAAGCATATTAAAGTTATCTCTTAAAAATTTATAAAAGGTTAGTTTTTTTAATAATTTAAATTGGATACGCTAATAACAAAAGCAGTAACAGCTCAAAGGGAACACTAATTTTTAATTATATCAAAACTAGAAAACATAGGCTTTTTATATTAACCATTTCTTCTTGGAATACATTTTATATCAAAGGTTAATGTCTAGAAAATGGCATGGAATATACTGCACCATCTTAATTAATGTTCTCTATTGTACCTCTTTACGTTCTAATATCCATTGCATTGGCTACACAGACCTCACAGACAAAATTCATGATTAAAGAGTTTAGTAAGGAAGTTCACAGGTTGTAATGCCAGTAGGAAATGCTCAGGATTGAGTTGTTTATCAGGACATGTTACAAAGTTCTTTCAGGTCTGCTTGTAAATGCCCAAAGAGCATACTACTGTGCTATCAGCCTCCGCTGGTGGGCACTCAGTTTAAGCTCTGTGGGTCAGCAAACCCAGGTCCCTGAATTAGTGCTCAGAGGCAACTTGCTCGGTAGCCTCTACTCAAAAGCTTTACTTGCTCGGCGGGTTGGGAAATTCCATCACTGTCCCTTGCTCTGACCCCTCGTTCTGCGGCTGCTCCTGCGATGTCACAGCTGTCTTCTTGATCCAGGAGGCTCACCGCATAGGAATCTTGGGTCCAGAAAACACACTCCATTTCTGGTTCGTGCTGGTAATGAGAACCCTCCTCGTGCTTCTCAAGGGGCTCCTTTTTTTACTCAGCACGATGGTATTGTGGTGAATTCCTGTTTTCAATTACTCACAGGTGAATACTATCAGTATTCACCTCACTCACCTTCTTACCAGACCAATGCAAGGGAAAGACTGATGGGAGTTAACGACTTTTGCTAGAAGAGCCACATTCAATAACTCACTGCCCTGCATGTACCACGAGTTAGGTTTTTGGGCTATTAAATTTTAACATGTACATACTATTTGGTCATTTGAATATTCGTCTAGAAATAATTACATATTCTTCTATTGGCTATTCATTAGCATGCGTGATACACAAAGAATCCAATATCTTCTCATACAAAAAAGTGCATGACTAGGGGGCAACATGATAACTTTGAAAATCAGCAGAGCAGTACACTCTGCCCTTCTGCTGTCACATAATTAGCAGACTATTGGGGAAAGGCCCCACCATTTAGTGTTCTCCTTTTACTGAGGAAGACATTCACAGCCCAGGGAGGTAACGTTCCAAAGATCACACAGCTGGTCAGTGGCGTCAAGACAAGTCACTCAGCTCACAAGACTCCAAGTTTGTACATCTTTTGTAGCATATTCACTGCATATTTTAATATTAATATTATTTTTAAAGTATCAAATCTTCCAAAATACCATTTGCAGATGCAAAATAAAAACCAGACTACTTGTAGTAATTCGATTTATATGAAAAAAACCATTGATAGATAACTACTGCCAATTTTTATTATTTATCTTCAAACATTATGACAACATTGGCATTAATTCAAGGATTCATAAAAGGAGAATGGTTGGTCTTTTCATAGTTTCTGTTTTTTCACCTTGGAGACAAGTGCAACTGAGAATAAAGTAATTCAAATATCCTTATTTACAACTGGCTATAATTATGACTCGGTTTTAAAAATATTTAAATAAGGTATTGTTTCTCTTGGTCTAGTATGAGCTCTATCCATTCCCCCCACCCCTCTTTATTTTAAAGTAGATGAATGACTTTCATTATTTTATGTTATTTGGCTTCATTGAATTTAGTTTAAAACTTTTCATTTTAAGATGAGCATTATTTAAATGATGTTTTAAATTATTGAATATAAATTATTAAATTATTTAAATAAAATAAGTCAAAGTAGTCTATAAATGGTCTATGCTAGACTTGGATGTCCTGCTTGGTAAAGGGTCGTTGAAAAAGAAGGTCCTCAATGAGATGGAGTGACATAGTGGCTGCAACAGTGGGTTCAAACATAATGACTTGGGGGGTGGGACAAGATCTGGCAGTGTTGTGTTCTGTTGCACATACGGTTGCTATGGAGTTGGACCTGCCTCAACAGCACCTAACAAACATTAGAAAGTTACAGGAACCACAGCTCTTAAGTAAAAATACAAAACATATACTCCATCAAGTTTCATAAACAAGAAACAAGTCCCAACGGAAAGTACTTAGTTTAAAATGCAATTTCATTTTCTTTTGAAATGCCTCAAGGACATACTGGATTGATTAATTTCATTATTTACTCTAAATAAATTATTTTGCTTGGCCTTAGCTACTTAAATTTAATATGATAAATTACTCTAAATTAAATACTCTATATGTTCACTATTTAATTATTCAGCAGGAAGTAATTAAAATGCAATTTATAGGGGCAAAAGACAGGCATCAGGAATCATATGTTATTTAAAAGTGGAGAGAGCATACAAGGAAACAAATGGGCCACAAAAATCTAATAGTGTGTTTACCAATCAGGTGCTACATAACCATCCACCCAAAAACATATAGTGGCTGAACACAACAAAAAACTAATGTTTCAAGATCCTATGGATTGGCTGGGTGGTGGTTTCTCCTGGGCTCATTCATATGGCTATGTTTAACTGGTAAACCAACTTGGCTCAGCTGGGATAGGTAAGCTTCTCTTTTCTTGTGCTCTTCCATCCTTAAGGAGATTAGACCAGGCTTCTTTTTTTTTTTTAATTAATTTTTTTTTTTAATTTTTAAACATTTTATAAGGGGCTCATACAACTGTTATCACAATCCATACACACATCAATTGTGTAAAGCGCATTTGTACATCATTCTCAAAACATTATCTCTCCACTTAACCCCCTGACATTAGGTCCTCATTTTTCCCCTCCCTCCCCGCTCCCCCCTCCCTCATGAG